TGTGTTCTCCAGGTGAGCTGTAGGCGTCTTGCTATGGCTCTCTTACATGAAATACCCTGCAGCCTCTGACCTTTCTCTCTTCCAGCCCAATCCAGAGCATCTCAGAGAGGGAAGAACTCCCTCTTTCTTTTGGGGGTGAGGGGGAAGTCACTCCGCTCTTTAAAAGAACATAACGTATGATTGGGAACATAATAAATACCATACTTTCCCAAAGCAAACTATTTTTTGTCTTGCTTGTGACTAATTGGTGTCTTCAAGAAGCTGACCGTAATTAGGTGTGCGTGGGGGTAGGGGGTGGGGAAGAGATCTAAGAAGGTAAAAATGGGGGCTTGATAATCAGTTTTAGTCATCTCCAGACGGGACTCCTGATACAGTGAGCACAGAGGAATTGCGAGGATGGAGTGCAGAAGGAAGTCGACTATACAGCTTCTTACCCAGGTTTCTTCACTTTAGTTCACTAATACCTTCAGGTAATATAATTTCTGTGTGTATTCTCTTTGTAGCTACAATGAAGGTAAAGGTAGGAAGTGTATTTGCTGTGTTAAAACTTTTGTACACACCTTTATGCACGTAAAGCATACAATGTGCCAGTGTCACTTAGCTGTTTTGAGTAGCTGAAGTACCCATCCAACATCACCACCGACTTATTCATGTTTCTTAGTTTAATATCTGTCTTTACATAGGCAGTCTTCAGGCAGCAGCACTGTTGAGGAAGGTTTCCCTTAATGTGGGAGTCAGGGCAGTTAGCGTACACATGTATGTGCATTTAATTAGGCCTTAGTGCTGATAAAAGCTACTTCAAAGCACATAGTGCAAATGGCCGCTCCTTCATGTTTCTTGCAGTAATGGTAGAATGGTGGCGTTGACTTCTTCGATACATTGAGGGGAAATGTGTTGTGCATAGGTACCATGGAGGGCAGTGGCAATGTCGCGAAGTGACTAGCCCCGACTTTGTCTCCAGATGTTGGTAGGTCCTGCGATAGAAATGAGGCTGGGCATCAAATACATGTGTAGGTGTAGCTCTAGATTTTTTTCTTTTTGGTAGCTAGATCTCTTTTATAAATATGCTTATGTAGGAGCTAAGCTCATAGGAGTTCTCTGCACATACGAATGAAAACTCTGGATTTGGAATGTTAACAGCTGCTGACCTGCACAAGTAGGTCATAAAAGCATCATTCTGAACTAAAGGTTGATTTAAAGTCTTAAAGTATGTTTTCTCCAAGATTATGATTTTAGTAATATTTATTTGTTTTGTAACCATGAATTTTCATTCATATAAATGTTCAATCTTCTTTTAAATTTTGCTATGTGGTTAAAGGTTAATATATTCTTGTGGCAGCAACTTCCACGTGTATTGCTTTACTTTGTTTTACCTATGTTTTGATTTGGGGAAAACAGAAGCTTTCAATCTGCCTAAATGTTCATTTTTTTATAGGTGGTACTAATGAAGCTACAGTCTTTTTTTTTTTTTTTTCTTTCCCCTGTCTCTCCTTTCTGGAGGTTTTTCGTGATTCAGATTGCTTTTTGCCACCCTTCTTTGCACTTCCCACTCTTGTACTTTCACTTTCTAGAGAGGGGTGATTAGTATGAAAATGATGGCATAGAATTTATCTCCAGGTGGTAGGAGAGGTGGAGATAATAGTACAAATTCTCTTTATCCCCATTTGTGTGAATTCTAATACTCCATTTTAGTTACAACTTCTGACACCCAGGTCCCCTTCCTAATCTAGTACAATATATTTAGAACCCTGTAGGGTATAGGATTCAACTCTCTAAAGTGTATTACCATAAAATTGTCTGACATGAAATTAATCTGCTGTTGTGATACTGACTTCCTTGGGCGCTTAGGTCTACGTGGCCCTGCGTAGACACCCGAGGTAGCTTTTAGGAAGTGGTGCTGCTGGTAGCAAAATTCCATTGTCATGGATGGAGCTGTTGCATGATGTTTAGTAGAACTCTTCCTGAGACCTGAACTAGCCCAGGATATAGCAAGGTGATCCATTGGTTTTAGTGGCAGAGCCAATTTAAGCCCTTTCTTCTCTATTCTGTGGTTCATCTTCTGTCTGTCTGTCCCGAAATAGCTGTTTGAGACTGTACTGTACGCAACATCATACAGGTGATAGGAGTGTAGGAGTGGGAACACCATAAGCCTGCCTTGTTGCCAAAACCAGTGTATTTTGTAACTACGCCCATGTTAGCTTGGAGAAGGTTGGACTGTGTTGGACATTGGAGCGGAGACCCTGCCTTCCTCACCTTTAGGGAAAAAGAGTGTCTGCCACCTAAATAATTGTTTGTCGCATGCATATTGTATTGCTTCTTTTCCTAATGAATAGTTGTATTTCCCAGATTCTCCACCTGAGTTTTAAAACCACAGTTAAGTCTTTGGCCAGGACAAAAAAATCGCCCTATTATTAATTTTTCTTCTGCTGTTCCGTTCAGTGATTCATTCCAACATGCTAGTCTAAATTATTTGTTTTGAACCATTAAACATCAGCACCCATAGAGGCAGTGCCTGTGTGGAGTAGGAAAATGTATTGACTTAGCTGTTCTTGAAAATAACACTGCTAAATCCGCTGTGGAAAATTGTGAGTGGTTTTCCAATGCTAACTATGTAAAACTTCTCCTGGAGAAACCATCACAACTCCATCCATATATAGGACAGATCTCTAGGGGCTTCAGTCTAGAATCCATTCTGCAATTCAGCTTGCATCCAGGGGACACATGAAAACACTTTTTGTTACGATTCTGAAGGGTGGTTTATTTTAAGAAAGTGAATTTTAAATATTGGCTAAATAACACTGAAACCAAATCTGTTTCCAGCTCCTATATTCAGTTCGATTGTAGCATTTGCTCTGCAGAAACCGTGTGAGTGTTGTTGCTGAAGACTTTGAGGTACAAATAAATTCTGGCTTTAGAAATGTATCAAAGTCAAGAAGAGGAGTCCCTACAGCGGCAGAAGTCCATCAGCGATGACAGGTATTTCTCACTCAGAAATATTTATTGGTGCAGAATATCAATATCTCCCGTATTTTCAATTAAACTTCACAAGCCTCTGTCATGTTGCACATATATATATATATATATGTATCGTCTGCAACTGAGAAATGAGAATAATGAGGTTAAAACTGACCAATGACACCAAGGAGAACTAGTTACTGGAACTGAAACAATAGTGTAAGACAGCTCCCTCCTCTTTAAATACTTAAACAGGGAAACATTCTCCCTGGGGTTTTAAATTCCGTCTACTATATGCTTAGGAGAAAGATATGGAAAGACTTTCCTTGCTGGTAACTCCATTTAAGTTCCTACAGCAACGCCAAGGGTAAATTTAGAGAAAAGTTCTTCTCAGAAACAGTGCACTAGGAAAGTGATTATTTTGTTGGTAGAAAGGAGAGGCAGTGGGAGGATGGATGCAGCAGGACTTTTGCTGCCTCGTCAAACCAGAATGTCTTCTGCAAACTAAGGAGATGCTTTCAATCAACTGGCTCTACCAAAGAACTTTGGACGCTTCATTCTTCTTTTTTTTTTTTTTATTAGTTGTCATTCTTTGACATGATGAATACTTACAGCAGTATGTTAAAAAAGATACAGTTAAGTCTCTTGGCATCACTGCATAGCAGTCACAGCATTTTCACACAATCTAGTGCTTCCTTTCAGAATGATGCATATGGCATATATACGCACATATGGGGGCTGATTCTTGGTCCCAGTGAAGTTGGTGGGACCAGTGTTTGGCCCATAGAGTTGTATAAGATATGTGAATATGTATATATAAAATGCTTTACAATAAACATGACATATACAATCTTGAATTCAAAGATAAGCAGAATATATTTTACATCCAAGTCAAACTTATGCTCTGCACTTAAAGTTTATGTACCTAAAATATTGGATGGATTATGGAAACAAGTAACAGAACAATAGTTTGCACCAATCAAAGTAATTTGGATACATGCCATGAATATGGCATGAAGCTTGCCTTGGGGTTTTGCTTTGTTTGTGTTTTGGGGTGGCTTTTTTTTGGATTTGCAGGTTCTTAATTCAAATTTAAGTATTGATTTTTGTGGGCCATGAGTGGGGGATGGTGGCATCAGGAGGGGAATGGGAGTACTTTACGGACAACTCAGCTGAGTGACTTAAAATATAAGGCTATAAATTATGGCTGGTACCCTAACCGATACCTGAAAATAAAATTATAACTACTTGAGCATTTCTCCTTTCTGAGGAGAGTCTATTTGGAAGGGCTAGTAGGCATTCTGCCTCTGTTTCGTTGGAAACTTTTAATAGAAATTTCAACCACAGATTGGAAAAGCTGGTGAGATAGCTATGCAGTGTGAAAATGGGCTTATCTCATTTACTGTGGTAGCAGCCTTCTCACTCATCATTTGGGGACACTTTGATTTTCTTCGTGAAAACCAATAGTTTATACAAAAATAATTGACCCATGTTGTAGATTAGGGTAGACAGAACTGCAGATCATGTGGGGTTTTTTCCTCCATAGACTCTACTTTATCTCAGCTACTCCTCTCTCTGTTTCTGTATTTCAGAGGTACACATTTTCAGTAGTCCTTTTTTTCCTCTTTTGGCTGGTGGCTGCAATGTTGACCCTTAAAAACCCAAAGGTAGGTAAAAATCTTAACTTAATGAAAATGCATATGTATGCATTATTTTAACCAGCCTAAAAGTTTCATTTGTCACCACTTTCTTTTATTATTATTGTTGTTATTTATACAGAATTTGCCTCTTTGATGGTATGAAATCTGCATTCAAAGAAACTAGGTTTTAATCAAATGAATTGTATTTGTGGGGCATAAAAGTGTTTTAAGCTCCTGCATTTAGCAGTTTTCTGCTTCTTTCCTTATACGAAAAACCTAACTCAGTTTTAAAACTTAGCTGCACTGGCCCAATAAGAAAGAAAAATAATTTACAGGGGCTTTCTGTAAAGTGGCTAATAGGGCTAACAGACAAAAATTTACATTATCTGCATAGATGTTTTCCTATTCTGTGCATCTAGCATTCTGTTGGCATCCTGGGGAGAAATCCCAGTACAGAAATGTCCTCCGAGCACTGGTGCTGTTGGGTTGGCTGTGTCGGGTACAGTTTGGCTTCCTCTATGGGAAATCAAATGGTAGCATTTTGCATTACAGACCCCAGCGAATCTGGCTGCCAGAGCCTAACTTTTCAGCGCACTGTTGTCTAGAGCACCTGAGGCAAACTGGCCCAGACCCAATCTTGTGTAACGGGTTTGGCTCACGAGTACAGAAGCATTTCTGAAGCCACCCTGAACCTGTTTCAAGCATTGTTTCATGAGACAAGGTGATTGAAATCTAGCAAGTATGTTCAGTGCACCAAAAAACCCCACAACCTGTTCATTTTAAGAGCAGCTTTTCAAAGTTGGGAAGTTTTAACTTGGTAAGAGCAGACTTGTAATGGACCCCGTAGGCTCTAATTACAGACAAGGTCTTGGTTTTATTGTAGCTGTAACAGAACTTGATTTGTACCTAAGCTTTCCTGTTGGACCTATTTTCTGGAAGCTCCTCAGAAACAGCTCAACCATGTACCTGTGTCAAGAGCTTTTTATGCCACTAGGCACCGGGTTTGTTTAAGTAAACTTCAGAACATTTTAAAAAAATTCTTTGAACTAGATGGAAAATGGCTTCCATTTCTTAGTAAAAGGACAAAACAACGGAAATTATATCCTTTTGTATGTACTTAAGTGCTTCTAAGCAGCACATTACACTGCTTGCTTAATGTCCTAATAATTGTCCTGAATCTGTCAGGAGAAGGAAAGATACACCTAAAAAGCTGCAAAGTGGTGATGCTCCCGCCCCCACCATCAGGTGGTTAAAAAGACATTTATGTCCTATAGTTAGAAATAATTTTATTCTACTACAACTCTCTCTCTCTCTTTGCTTGTTATGGTACTTCTAATGTGTGAATCCCATTTAGAAGAGGGAGGAAGAAGAATGTTTTCTACTGGTTATAGCTTACAAAACAGTAGAGGAGAAGAAAAACATCATTCTCAGGATGCTTTGTGTTCTCATAGTGATTTCCACCTTCCCACTTCACTGGGTTTCAGTCTCTTTCTCTGAAGATACATGTCCACTGAATTAGTAGAGTAAAACATCCTTTACTAAAACTTATGCTTTTTATTTTCCTTTAAACATATTAGTCACCTTATGATCATGAAGACTTTGTCTAATCAAGTCAATATTCCCTGTAATTGAGAAAAATTCTATTATATCTCCCCTTGCATCTTTATGAGTAAATATTATCTTTCTCAAACACCAACTTAAATAGCTCTTTTTTTGTTGGCCTCTCCAAGGTATTCATGTCCAAACATGATTATATGGCCATATCTGCTAGTTCTTTTGGAAAACAGCTATACAGATTTGATGTACTGGGGGTTTACAACAATGCTATACCTGAATGCAATTAATTTTTCTGGGGGCAGAGGAGAAGGGGACAATCGCTTTGGTGCAATGCAGTAGTGTCTGAGAATACAATCTCATTGAAATGATGGAAGCTTAAGTAAAGTTTTCTGAAGACTATCTGAACTATCTGAGGTTGTTTATGGCATAGATAAGGCCATGTATCTTTCACAAACACGAGACCATAGAAAAGTCCTCGGCTACTATGGTAGTTAAGAGGATTTTTCTTAACAGTCTGACTACAATGCATTTTTTTTTTCCTTCATTGAGTGAGACTGATCTAGAAGTCAGTTGAAGTATTTTTTTTTTTTAAATGAAAAGAAAAATACAAATGCATTTTGATGCTGCCTATCTAAGGAGGGAATGTGGGGAAAAAATCAGCTACACTGCAACATCACTCGAGAAAACAATTGGACTCCAGAACTATTAGAATGTCGTGCTTTGTAGATCACTAAGCTATTTAATAAAAAATCACACTCTTGAATAAATGGTAATCAGATTGAACTGTCAAATTATGTGGTGTTGCTGTGGGTTTTATTTTTTTGAGCTTAAACTTCAGGCTCTGTGAAGCATTTGCCTAGACCAAATGTGCAAGGTGCCATGGATTAACAACACGGACCCATATGGAATGTGTTTGAAGTTTTCAAGAAGTTATCCTGCCAGACTTCATTCCTTAATGACCTTTGATACACCTTGGATAGTGGAAAGGCAGTTCAGAATCATATCTTGTGATCATATGATTTTGGCAGCTATCAGAAGATGAAGGATGCTAAAAGTTAAGGCTTTTATCCACAAACAATGGTGTATATTAATAAACTCTATACCATATTTACAAATGCTTTCTCTTGTATTAAAACTAACAGTATTCTGTTCACAGTGCCAATGTTTTTACAGGTAGCAATCCCACAGTACTCCAGTATTTTGGCATGGGAATCAGTAGCGCTTTGTATTTACAGAAAATGTACACATATGAATATAAACATGTTACTTGAAACAGTACTCAAAAGATAGATCTGTTCACGTTTCAAAGGTTTAGACTGTACAACACCTTCCCTTTCGTTTGCGAGGGAATACTGTTCCTTGCAATGAGAAGATGCCCGTCTTTTATCCAAAGTGGCATAAAAATGATTACCAAAATGAGCCTTGTTACACTGGAGTTGCGTATGTGGAGAGTAACTTCAGTCCAAGGTTTATAGATCTGTTGTTTAGTGCACAGAATACAAAAGTTAAAAAGGTTTTTGTTTTAATTACTAAAATAATCAGACTCTCTCTGCCCTCTGTGAGCGCTGTCTCACTCAGCCAGTGTCCTCTGGATGCTGAAGATGCTGGTGGTTTAATGTGCAGCCCAGCTGCCAGCCTGGAAAGCGTATGGCGCTCTGGGCCTATATACATATGTCACAGTATGACTCGTGGTAAATGAATATATAACCAAGAGTGCCTCTATCTCCACTGTTCTCAGTAATCCTCCCTGCTTCACAGCAGCTGTAACCGGCCCGGCTTCAGTACTGCTGACCGGGACTCTGCATTCAGGCAGTTCATGATCAGAAGTGACGAATGGCATCAGACATGCGCAGAACGAAGAGAGGGGAGAGGAACGTGAAGGAGATCCAGAAAGGAACCCAGCAGAACCGCGGGCTTGTTCATGAGGACCCTTACAGCTTCTGCTTCGCCATTTCTTCCCTTTCCACGGTCTTGACAACAGGCTCCTAGCTCCCCGGGATTTTGTTTGCTGCTGTGATCAAGACAGAGATAGCAGTGCTATCAGGAAAAATGCAAAGCTGCCACTAAGGAGTCTCTTCTTCATTTAAAGTCTGTTCTTGGCTGCCAGTCACTTGACCTGAGTGGTCATTGCTTCTGCTACTGCTGTGTTGCTTGTGGAGCAAACTCTTCCACTTGGCCTTGTTCCTCCTGAGATGGTTTAGCATATTTTCAGATAGGGGGGTATCGCCTGTAAACTGGGCCCACCTCTCAAAGAGTGGCTCTACGATGTACGTCATGAACCCTGGGGAAACACACAAAGTACAGCAGGTGAGGAACAAATTCATTCTATGAGTGCATTACCCCATAGAGTACCTCGAGAGAATGCAGCAATGTAAGTGGCAAAAACCCTGACGAGAAATAACAATAACGCCTCAAGCAGCCATCAATTCCCTTTGAAATGCACAGCTTTTGACCAGCGCACATGACAAGATGTGGCTCTATCTGCGTGTGTAACAGTAAAATCTGAGAGAGACAGCATCCTTCTCTGAGGAGATTTCAGACTAGAAGTAACCAGTGTGTAATTACATGTGTTGGCTGTGGTTTTTCTCTGCAGATGTTAGAATGACCCCTTTTTTCTCTATGCAATGACTCTGTTGTCTTTCTATTGAATATCTGGCTTGGATAGGTTTCTTTTTGAACGTTTTTATTTAGAATGTGAATCGTGACTCTTGTGGTACCTACAGTTCTTACTGTTAAAACAACTAGATTGGGGGCGGGGGGAAGAAGAGTTTCTCTTTGAGCTTGTGCCATACTGAGATAAACATGGAGAGAAGAGAATGAAACTAATACTTACCGATCTGTATGCTTGGTATTGTATCCTTCTGCTGATTACAAAGGGGGCTTATTTCCAGTTCAAACTTTTGTTCCAGGTCACCTGCAAAAAAAAATAGAAGAGAAAATAATTTGCTGCCACTTATATTTCTTCTCCATATTTATGTCAGACTCTTACAGTGACTGCAACTGCGTGGATTTGAGCAGCTGGAATCTTGCACCAATGACAACCATGTTAAATGTCTAAATACCTTCATTTCTTGGACTTTGTTTTACATATCAGAGAAACTGAGTATGCATACAAAGAAAAATCTCTCTAAGGAAAGGTGACTTCTGAATGAACATTAAATCTGAGCACTTACATGTTTTGAGGACCTTAATTTTTAAAATAGATTCTCTCACATGGAAGATTTTTAGGACATTCTAGTTCATTTACAAATGTCTTCCTATGAGAAAAATGCAGAATATATATTTTAGAAGAAACACATCTCCATTAGTACTGTAGTGTGAGTTGGTACTGTATGCTTGTGGAAGTTGCTGTTAAAGGGCAGCGCGATGGAGCCTGGCAGTCAGCAGCTGTGTCTGCAGTAACAGATTAATAAGGGCCAGAGCACGGGCTCGGGCAACATGTATTCATGTGGCAAGAGCTACAGAATTCAAGTTATAAATGTGGAAAAAGGATGAAATTAAAAATTTGTCTCATAATTGTGGTGTAGCTGGGTATCAGGGCTATGCCTGTGCTGCTGCGCTGAACTTGCATCACTAATTCCCTGGGTGGTCCAGGAAGTCCCCAGAGTCATCTGCACAGGACTGACTCGAGACAGCAGACAGACCTGAAACAGTGGTTGACCAAACTCCTAGCCGCCTTCATAGCACGGTATTTGACTAACTGGAACAGGAGGTCTCCAGGAGTGAATCTAGGACTGCCCTGAAGACTCCTACAAGGCAGCTCCTGCTGTGACTGGCCCTGAGGTCTGTTTCAAATTGTTGAAGAACAGCCTGGGTGGGGGATCTGCTCACTCCAGATGCCACCTGAGACTGCTCCTGCTGCAGAATTGACCAAATTCGGTGTTGAGAAGATGCTTATAAACAGTCGGTAGCAACTATTCCTGCAGATGCAGAAGTGGTCACGCAAGACAGTCTTCTGTGCGTAGGTAAGACAGGAGATGGTTTTTTATGTAGTTGAAGGTAATCAATAGCAATGATCATGCGTATACTGGAGCGGTCACAGAGGACCACAGGCCAGCTGGATATGAGAATTCAGCAGAAAAACAGCTCAGGGAGTCTCATTCGCCCGTTGCCATCCAGACAGCAACCACCTGTCCGGCTGGAGAGATTGCATTTCCCCATGCAATCAGTACACCACGCAAAGATTGCTGTTAATGAGTTAATGTGCTTTTTGTTTGGATTTTTTTTAAACAAACGCTCCGTCTGTGAGTGCAACACGTTCATCTTTCGTGATTTTTAGCCTTCTCTGAGACACTGCCAGGGTACAGTCTTGGTTACTGCATGAGGTACAGACCCCTTCCTATCTGCAGTATGGGAGGGAAGGGAGACTAGCTGTGTGCAAGCCAAGCTGCACACTTGCCCTCAGGCAATAATACTTTGTCCATTTGATTTACTAGTAAAGATGTAGTGAGGGGTGCTTACAAGAAACGTTCCCATAAATAAGACTGACCTGCTAGATCAGACAAAATGTTGTATTCAACCCAAAAAGAATAATTTTACTTTAAATCCACTGATTTTGTTTAAAAGTTCGTTACTCCCCACTAATAGACTGTTTTGACATAAATGCTATTGTGCCACTCAGGCTGTATAGCCCCATATAAAATGCCGTGTGCATTTTTAAGCCTTGCCTTTCTTCTCTCTGCAGCTTACAATGCCTTCTTAAATGTGAGAGGAGTATTTTCAGTTTCAATTCAATATTTACAAAATACCAGGGAAATGTTTTTAGCTTCACAAAGGATCAAAAAGAACAATTCAGCAAAACTGAGACAAAATAACAGTTTGTCATGTTTCCAAATGTGTAATTTGTCTGTCCTCTTTTTCCCCTCTACCCTTTCCAAAAATCTTTGACTGAAAAAAAGAGTGTCTAACTTCAGTGATGACCCCTCTAGGCAGGTATTCTGTGTTCAAAATGGTTGACCTGGCTGGCTTGAAGTGTAATCAACATCATCTTATTTTTGACAAGTCACTTAACTGACAAAAATAAGATTTTCCTCTGCAAGGTAAGAACTTAAATGATGGTCAATTTTCCCATGTTTCAAGTTGCTATAAAAGTAACTGCATGAATTAATTGCCGAGAGCTTTCATGCTGGAGAAAACCTTCTAAGCAATTTTAAAACCTCACCAGAGAAACTGATCATTAATGTTACTTAAACATTAGCCATTTTCTTGAAACTTCTTTCTTGCCGGTTCCAGTTTTATACAAACAAATCAAGTTGCATTATTTACCCTGTGTTCCTACTTGACTTTTAAAACATCCATATGAGAACAAGTTACAGTATTTTTCTAGGAAAGGTTCATGTTAGGAGCTGCTGTAGGTATCAGGTACTCCCTGAAATGTACCTGAGTTGTATATTTTATTTGCTAATAAATGTAGTGTAGATGCACCAGATGACTGGAAGATAAAGATCTGAGTCTATTAAAATGGCATTAGAAATGTTTGGTACAAAAATGTTCAAACTTTGTACGCGTTCCAGAAGGAAGATTAAACAAGGCACGGATTGTGGGATTATCTGCCTCATCTATAGTTAAAAATCAAAACATGAGAGAGATGCTTTTCAAATGCTAAACAAAAAATAGCTTCAAGCCCCAGCACTCTGCGTAAGGGGGTAGAGAGGTCTACAATAACATTTTAAAGTGATAACGGTATCTAAATACATGCTATTTAATATTGTCTTTTGTGTCACTTACCAGAATTATACAGCTACCAGTGACAGTCAGACCACAGTTTCTGTACATTCTCCCACATGAAATGCTCTTTTTCTCCCTGTTACGCTTCTAACTGGTCTCATGCTCCAGTGTTCCCTTTCAGAGGTATATTTTAGATGTTATAATAATAAATCTTCAGTCTTGGGGAAAAAGCTTATGTTTCTAAGAGTTGAGAGTGCCATCTTTCTCAGCATGGTCCCTCAACACGCTAAAGGTGAGGTATCACACAAGTGGGGCCCTGTCCTCATGAGCTGGATATTGGTTATGCCTTGACTATAATCTGACTAAATAAACCTGCATCTGACAAGTTGTTTATGTTGATTCAAAAGCATCAAAGACATTTCACCAGCTTAAACTGACACTGGCTGAAAGTTAACTTGCTGACCTATTTGTCCTTGTTAGGGACTAACTGTACCAGGTACCAGCTCGGATGTGGCTTAATTTTGTGGTGCAGAATTTTAAATGAATTGAGAACTTCATTGTGTGCTCTTCCAGTGTTTGTACCGCTTGCCTTTGGCGCTCATGATGCTCCGAACAAAGAATTTAGCAGTGATTAAACTCTGCTGCACCCTGTGTTGTAGCACTGCATGACCTTGCCTATGCAGATAGAGCCAAATGGTGTAATTACTGTGTTTTAGAAAAAAACCCTGCCTGACTGTGCTCTCTGCAGGGGTTTGAAAACATTTGCAATAGGTCCTAGCCAAGCTTTGGCTTGCCCGCTTTGGCCCTTTCAACAGCGTGCTGGGAAGTGCGTTTGAGCCCTTTCTCTGCATTTGTAGGCAGAAGAATGTGTCATATTTGGGAAACAGCGAGGGTAAGGCTCCCATCGGAGCTGTAGTGGGAGCGTGAAAAGCGAGATAAAACACAGTGGACAGCGGTAGTGTTTGGTGCAGTGTAGCTCTGGTGCCGTTCCAGCTCAGAAGAGCTAATGATGACTGGAGGGTTCTCAGAGGAGAATCCAGCCGTGGGCTCTCCAGCCGAATTCGAGTGCTGAGGCACAGCAGAGCCCTCCCTCCTGCCTGATGCTGATACAGGAGCAGTGAGGGCAAAGAAATACTTGCTGCTCTTTCACCCCTTCCCACTTTTCAAATGGGGCAAAGTATCTCTTCAACAGCTCGTTCTTGAGGGGGATTTCAAGGCAAACTGGTAGGCTGAATGCTACCTCTGTCTCGCCACACAAAAAGCCTGGAAGGCCGAGGTGAAAGGGGACTGCTGCGTGCGAAGGGGCTGACCTTGCCGGTAAAACTCTTCGCAGACCCGTTCGCTCCACTGTTTGCTCAGATCCCAGAGCCGGCAAGGGTTGCAAATGTCAGCGCACTTGAGTGCAATCTGAAAGCAAAGAAGGAAAGTAGCGATGAGAAAAGAAATCATTGTCTAGCAGTGCTTCAGCAGCAAATCTGCAGCCATGAAACTCCCAGGCCTCACCAGCGATGTTGGGAAGGGTTAAGATCACCTTTTTAGAGACTCGGCCTCACCCAAATATGCCTTTTGAGGAAAGAGCATTTATTTAAGCTGCAAACAAAACTTTCATTCAGCTCTCCGCTTCACCGTAGTGAGAACAAGAGGAGGGCCAAATTCCAAGGCTGCAAAGTCTCTTGGATATTCCTTGCAAGGAATAAGCCAACAAAAGCCTCAGGCTGGCTCCTGCTGACTGCCTGGCTCAGCATCCATGGCTGATGACAAGGAAGGGAAGAGCCAAGCTGGTGTAAGACTATTTGGGCATCATTTCTCTGCGGTCTCAGTGAGTGACCTTGCATCTCACTTCAATTACACTTCATCTTAATGTCTGCATATTTTTGTTTACAAAGCTAAGCACAGGGCTCTCCGCACTGCCCCTGGCTTGGTTTCACTTAGTTAACTAGTACTTTTAAGTGCTTTGCAGGGGAATGAGTACAGGAGGGCAAGAGGTTTTTAAAATCAAGTAACTGCTTCAGAAAAGTAAACCATGTAATAGTCTGTCTGTCTTACTGCCTTGGAACAAGATGTCATGTGCCTCATTTCTTCACAGATTGAACACAGTCAGTTAGCCTGACAGAGGTCAGAAATCATTCTGGCACCCGGGAGGAAAACAGAAATATTTCCTGTATAAATTCAGACCTGTGAACTGGAGGAGGGAAGTCTCCAAGTCACTTTTCTCTCTGGATTAAATTGATTAGCCTTACTGTTACTATTACAAGGGTCTTTCAAACATTCTTTAACTTACCCTGATCAATCAAGATTTCTTGGGGTTTTTTTCTTTTCTTCTTCCACAGCTAATCCACCAGATAAATAAATCTCACCATGTCTGTGCCCTAGTTCCTATCTTCAAGAAAGCGCATAAGAAACTTTTTGCCCTAGTTGAGATCTGTAATCCCTGTGCCTTTGGCATTTGCACAACTTTCTTGCCCTATCTGTCCAGAAATATGATAAGCTCATCACCCTGCCCTGCATGGTCCATGCAGGAATCTGACAGAAGACCATATTTGATGGAGGACAGGTGAGCAGATTACTACATTTCCCACACTGGTGGAGGGGGAAGAATTAACAGATCAGCACTTCTTTCCTTGCAACTGTCACTCTTCCTGTAACCTCGACAAAGTGATAACATGTAGATGTTTGTTTTATTGATGATAATGATTACTTAACTCCTTTATGTATTTAAGAGTGAAATTGATGTCATTTCTCCAGAGAAGCATGTATATGCAGCTACTTTAATCACAATAATGCTTTAATAGGTAGTGGTTTATTCTGAAGAGCCTGTTAATGACTGCAGCTTAGCTGGAAGAACCAGTTTGAATATATTGTATTTTTAAATAAAACGTCGTTTCTTCATTAGCTGGGCAGATCCACTAGAAAAGCACCTGCTGCCATGGCAACAGCTGTCTCTGCAGAGGCAGTTTCTGAACATCCATCACAGGGACGGGACTTGGGCACCTGATGTCAGGCTGTCTTGGAAAGAACACCGACAAGGGGGCTCTCCTGTGCGGTGCTAGGAAATAACACCAGTGAAGCCACGTTTGCCAGAAGAGAAAATACAATCGAAGCATTACCTGGCAAGAGATGCAGTCTGGAAATAAAATAATTAATAGCTTATCTTAATTTCTCAGCATTTGACACTCTCCTGTATCTGTTGCATTCACAGCTTTCTAACTCAAGGAAATTACATACGGAAATACTGGAGGCACCTTACACTTGCCTGACGTACCAGGTGGCTGCAGCAAAGTGTTTATGGTGATAGGTAAGGAGACACTGATGTCCAGACACACTATCGTATGCTATTCTAACATATATTAGCAAATACTGTGACTTGAAAAATGAATAAAATACAGTAATGGAAAAATAAAGTTACCTGAAGCATAAAATGTCTGTCTTGTGCATCCTCCAGCCTCAAATCCTGATTGTCAAGGTGAGATTTCAGACGGATCAAAAACTCATTCTGCCTGTTGATGTCTGTGGCCAAGATCAGAGAGCCCAACTGCTGCTCAATGTCCTGTCTGCAATAAGGAAAATAAGCCCCTTCAGTCATGGAACCACTGAACATTAATAGCGCAAAATAACCTGCTACGGATCATAGCTAGCATAAAGCTTCCTCTTTCTTTATGGATGCAGTCTGATCTCTTGGCTCAGGGTTTGCAGGGTACAACTGTTCTAGCTGCCTAAACGGGTTCAGGAGGAATAGATAACGTAGAAGGAAAATGCTTGTTGGCATAGGTGGTTCTGAAAGGAGCTGAAAAGTGCTAGGGAAGTAAAACCAAACCAACAGCATGATGCATCTAGAAAAATGCTCACATCTTACTTCAGCTGTTCAGAGCTGGGTGCTGAATACAGCAACTTTAAAGTTGCAGTTGAAGTTGTGAAGGACTGAAGTCCTTTGAAGTAGGACTGAAGCTGTCGGTCTGATGCAAAGGATTTCTGGAGGGATATGGAGCTTATCGCTTCCAGGTAACTTGTTTATGTTCTTGGTAAGGTCACCTGTGATTAAAACTTAGTATTGCAGGCTGTTCATTGGCTCAATCTCCATTCCTTGGTGGGATTAACACTGCACAAAACCAGCAGGTAAAAAGTTAGCATCAACTTGGCCAAGGTGCTCATGTTGCTAGGTCTTTTTTTTTTTTTGCTTCACCCAAAAAGACAGTGAAGACTGAACCACACCTCCTCAGTCAGGTGAGGAAGTCCTGAGTAGTCTCGATGCTACTTGACCAACTCCTCCATTTCTCTCTCTATTCCATGCTTTTTAATCACTAAATCTTTCCAGATTTGGTTGGTGCTATGTAAAACAAAAAATGCCA